TCTAGTATTACTTGTGGGCTGCTTACAACAAATGAAAAGCTCCTTGTGTTGTTATATAATTCCAGCTTGTGCTTATTATTGAATATATTTAGTAGTAAATTTGTCCCAAGGTGAAAGATTTTATTTAATTCAAGTTCTTTTGTTTTTATAATTATGGCTTCAAGAATTTGTAGTCATTTTCACAGCAGTTTATGTTGTATAATATTGTTGTCTAAAAATATTTGCCTAATATTAGTAGTAATATGAAGGGCATTATGCATGATTTTCATGGGAACATTTATGACACTATTGTATGAGAAATTAATGAACAAAAAATGACCAGTGATGGTTGAAAATTGGTTATATGGTCAATTTTTCCATAGTGGTTCAAATATACATTATTTTAGATAAAAACAAATGAAAATTCACTAACAAAAATTATTTTAAAAAATCATTTTTATGTGGTCTTTAACTAAAATAGCTTATATATATATATATATATATATATACACACACACACTCTCTGACATGCCAAATGTCTATGGACAGCAAAATGTAAAACGTAATTGTAGATGGTGCCACCATATGTTGATATGGAAATGTCCACATCTATATCAGTTGTACACTGACATTTGGTGAGTGATTATAACACTGGCTAAGTTGAACATATCAAGGTGTTATGAATTATAGGAATTGGAACAGGGCGTGATAGACAGTAACAGACAGATGAGACATTCTATTTCAAAATCTCAGGGTCATTTGTGTACCAGGAATATTTAATAGGAAGTATTAGCACTCATCAAGGACAAGTTATCTGGCTATAATTGTCTCTTGTAACACTCGTTCAAATGACATCCACATATCAAGCCAGTTCAGAGTTTCTTAGCTTCAGTTGGATTTGGGTGCAGAAGACCCACTAGGATGACCCTGTTTACACTACACAGTGACTCACATGATTTCAATAATTGGGCAATGAAGTACTGGCAATATGTGGTGCAATCTAAGGAGTTCTGGTTTCAGTTGTTTGGAACAGATTTGAATGTGATGCAGATACTAAAATCATAAACTCCAATTGTCAACAAGGCTCTGTACAGGTTGGCAGTGGTTTTATAATGGTAAAGACTGTGTCCATGTGGAATAGATTGGGTCCACTGGTCAAATTAAGTATATCATTGAGCAGTGACTCTTATATTGTACTCCATTTTCACCTATTCATGGACTCTATATGGCTATTTCAGAAGGGAATTCCCTAATATCATCAGGCCCCAAGTTAACCAGAATTAGTTTGAAAAGCATTCTCAAAACTTCAGATTAATGAAATAACTACCATGTTTGCTTAACAGGAACCCAATCAAACATTTATGGGATGTGATGGAGAGGTATAATTGCCCAAAAGAATATGCAACTAAAAATATCAAGAAACAGTGGACAGTTATCAAGGCAGCATAGCTCAATATCTCTGTAGTGGTCTGCTGCATTTTGCTGTGTTAGCAGGGGTCCTACAGCTATATATCACATTGATTTTTTCTATGTTTATATATATATATGTGTGTGTGTGTGTGTGTGTGTGGCTAAGAAGTTAGAACGTTTACTTTGACAAGAAGACAGCAGTTTGAATTTTAATATGGTTGATTTGTCAGGATGGTGACTTTCTGATGATATCGGCCTGAGGATGTGAATCCAGCATTTGGCACCTTTGGAAACCATATCATGGGTTGACCTAAGCCTTGTGAGTGATACTGGGTAGACAGAATTGCTCAGAAGCCCATGGTTGCATTAGCAAACAAGTTACAAGTCATTGTGACCAAGGGTTGGAGTGTATTGGCTTTGTTCAAAAAATTGACAGATTAAATGCTCTCTCTCAGAAACTGTATCCACTCAGCGTAGGTGCTGTATAATCAACAGGTGGGTTCCCATGGCTATTCCTCATTTCCAAGCATTTAATTTCTGTGTTATACACTTCCTCTCTTTATTCTAACATCTCTGAATGGAACATTCATCCACACAAATTGCAAGATCCAATCTTAGTTGGATTTGTGGATCCTTGTCATAATGTATAAGGTAGCTGCAAGATTTACAGTCTGTAATGACTTTACTGTAAATGATTTGGCACAGGATTCTGTTGCTGTTCATGAGGAGTACATGGCCTATTCCTTATGGGATTCATGATGGTGACTTCAATGCTGTTGGCTGGAAACTTCTTAAGAACTGCAAAGTTAGAGACATAATGTTTCCAGTTAATGCTCATAACTGATCAGAGATTTTGCTGATAGAATAGTTCAAATATTTTTAAAATTATTGATTTGGTGGTATCTTAAGTATTAGAGTATTAATTGTAGGAGGTTAGGTTAATAATTAAATTTATATTTATTGTTGTTTGAATTTCTATGCATATTTTTATATTCATACACATACACAAATTTATACACATATCTGTGTATGTCTATGTATATATATTATATTATATATACACTACCAGTTGAAAGTATTTGGCCCCCATCAAAAGTTTTATTTCTTATTCTAAAAGTGTTATTTTTAATGTAACAAGTTAAGCACCACAATGGTTTTATTTATTATACTAAATACAGGTCATCCTCAGTAACTTTGACCTTAGTATAACCAGATATCTTTTGAAAAATTGATTTGAAGGCATTTTTCTTCTTTAGTACTGAGCATGAATAAAACTTTTTCCAAAAGTTACATTATACCACCACTTGAACTCACATTAAACAAAATTGCATTGAATTACTGCTTGCTAGATACTACCTGTTTTACCTATGCTGCCAATGTACTTTGCCCAGTAATGAAATCTGTTATTCTTATTTTGTTTAAATCAAAACCTAAATTTTGCAAATTTCTTCTGGATCAAAACTTTTTTCTCAACAAAATGCCAAAACATTTGAACATACATTTGAAAAAAGACAAGAGATCATTATTTGAAAAAAAGAAGGATATTCAAGCAGAGAAATTAAAAAAAAAAAAAAATGTTCCCAGAACTACAGTGAATTATTCTGTTAAGAGACATCAGGAAATGGGACGGAAATGGGACAAGACAAGACTGGGTGACTGGGGATGTTTGACCAAAAGTAACAACAAGAGCAGAGGGCAATTTCATCAGAGTCACCAGTTTGCATGACAGAAGGCTGACTTCTCCAAACATCTCTGCACAACTGAACCAATGTCATCAAAAAAATGTGTCAACATCCACTGTGAGGAGAAGACTCCTGTGAAACTGGCTTATATGGCAGAATTACTGTCAAGAAACCACTATTGAGGAATCAAAACAATGTCAAAAAAAGTTCCAGTGGGCCAAGGCACACAAAGATGGGACAACAGAGCAGTGGAATAAAGTCCTTCAGATTGATGAATCAAAGTTCGAAATCATTGGGCCAAATAGGAGTGTTTATGTGCAGTGAAGAGTTGTTGAAAGAGCTGCAGTCCCCTGTATCACACCAACCACAATGCATGGGGGAGGCTCTGTTATAGTGGGGGCGGGGCTATTGCCAATTGCAAAGTCAGAGATTTGCTCCTGGTGAAGGGCAAATTGAATCGGACCAGTTATTACAGCATACTGCAGTATCATCCAATCCAGTCTGGAATACAGCTTGTGGGTCAAGGATTTGTACTCATGCAAGATAATAACCCAAAGCATATGAGTAAACTCTGCCAGAGGATACATTAAAAGCAAAGAGAAACAGCATATTCTTCAACTGATGTCTTGGCCAGCACAATCAGCAGACTTAAATCCCATTGAAGTGATGTGGGATGAACTTGACCGAAAAGTCAGAGCGAAACAACCTACAAGTGCAGCTCACCTCTGGCAACTCTTGCAGGAAAAGCTCGGCAGAACTAACTTCAGTCTACCTCCAAGTCTTTGGTGGAAAGAATGCCAAGAATCTGTGAAGAAGTGATAGTGGCCAAAGGGGGTCATTTTGACAAATCTAAAGTTTAAGAAGCTTTTTTGTGCTTTTTTGATTTAATTTTTATCTAATGTGGCTCAGGAAAACTTATATTTAGTATAATAAATAAAACCATTGTGGTGCTTAACTTATTTCCTTGAAAATAAAACTTTTAGGATGAGAATTGAAAAATTTTGAGGGTGGCCAAATACTTTTGACTGGTAGTGTGTGTATGTATATATATATATATATATATATATATGTGGGTGTGTGTATGTACAAATGAGCACATACAGAAACACATGCACACATGTATCTGCTTTGTTATTAATATTAGTGCTTAAATGGTAAAGTGGCATTTTTCCAAATGTTAGTGTATTAATTATGGATGGTTAGGTTTATAGTGTATTTTCTTTGTTGTTTGAATATATATATATATATATATATATATATACATACATACATTCGTACACATGCACATACGCAAATATATATTTTTAAATAGTGTTTAGGAGGTAAATTAATTATTGGTTTATACATTATCATTTATCTAATATTTCATATTTGTTTAATAACTAGTAGTTCTTTTGTTTTTTTGATTTGGTGTTAACTTAAATATTGAGGTATTAATTATGGAAGGTTAAGTTTGTTGTTTTTCGTGTAATTATATGTGTGTATGCACACACACACACACACACTGAATTTACCACTATATATTTTTATAATGCTTATTTCATAAGAAAGCTTGACTGATCCTACAAATCATATGAAGGTCTTTTGTTTCCTCTACAAAAGCTGGTAATAAAATATTGAAAAATGTTCAAATATATTCAGGTAAAATAAACAGTTTTATTTCTTAACTGGTAGAATTTATAGATTTGTGAATTAAAAGAGAAAGATATGATTGTTACTAATTCGGTCTATACTGTTTCTTTTTACCTGATAATTTTCACTGGACCATTTTGAAAATGTGTGATGGTGAAAATATTTTTAAAATTTTAACATCTTGATAAATTTCTTGCAAACCCTACCTTTAAAAGACACAAAAAACCAGCTAAGCAATATAAAAAAAATGGCTACTCAATGCAGTTACAGTAATGGAAGGATATGGGGGAAAAATGATCAGAAAAAAAAAAGAGAAAAGTATATTAAAAGATAAATAAAAAAAAAAAACATGACAGAAAAACAACAGAAAGGAGTAAAAAGATGAAGAAAGGAAATAAAAATAAAAGAAATAACAGAAGTCTTAAGTGTATGGGACTAGAATCAATGATAAAAAATATTTTTAGATTGTAAAATGATTGAATAAAATATGAAGAGAAAAGAAGATTGGATGCAAGAGATAAATATAATAACAAGGTTCAAAGAGAAAGAGAAAAACAAAAAATAGAAAAATAAAGGGGAAATAGAAAAAGAGAGAAAGAAGAAAAGCACTAAAATGGGAGAAAGAAGAAGAGCACTAAAATGGGAGAAAGGAGAAAAGCATTAAAATGGGAGAAAGAAGAATAGCACTAAAATGGGAGAAAGAAGAATAGCACTAAAATGGGAGAAAGAAGAATAGCATTAAAATGGGAGAAAGGAGAATAGCATTAAAATGGGAGAAAGAAGAATAGCACTAAAATGGGAGAAAGAAGAAAAGCACTAAAATGGGAGAAAGAATAAAAGCATTAAAATGGGAGAAAGAAGAATAGCATTAAAATGGGAGAAAGAAGAAAGCAAAATGGGAGAAAGAATAAAAAAATGGGGAGAAAGAAGAATAGCATTAAAATGGGAGAAAAGAAGAAGAATTAAAATGGGAGAAAGAAGAATAGCATTAAAATGGGAGAAAGAATAAAAGCATTAAAATGGGAGAAAGAAGAATAGCATTAAAATGGGAGAAAGAAGAATAGCATTAAAATGGGAGAAAGAAGAATAGCATTAAAATGGGAGAAAGAATAAAAGCATTAAATGGGAGAAAGAAGAATAGCATTAAAATGGGAGAAAGAAGAATAGCATTAAAATGGGAGAAAGAAGAATAGCATTAAAATGGGAGAAACTTGAGGTAGAAAAAACAAGGATATAAATGAAACTGACATTCATAAAGACAAAACAATTTGAAAAGAAAAGATGGAAAAAGATTCAGAGAGACAGTTTTCGGTAAAGGTGAGACAAAATACAGAAAAATGGTTAATTCACAGAAAATTGGTGTCTTGCCAATAGGGAAGAAAGAGAAAAAACTTGACAAGAAAGAAAAAAGTACAAATGAATGAAAGATTAAGATAAAAGCAAAATAAAATACACATTACAATGAGGCAAAAGAAAAAAAATGTCAGTGTTTCCAGACTGCGGTGCATTTTTGCAGGCAAACAGGACAAGAATAAGAAGAATAATTTTATTTTTTGCCTTAGCTTTCTAAATTGTACTGTACTTTTTATCATTAAGTTTCAACACGAATTCTTCATCCTAACCCACCTATTCCAAGAAATCCTCACTTTTGAGAAAAATAAATAACTTCTGAAAGATCTCCTGTGAGTGCTGTGTATAAGAGTAGTGACATATGCCAAAGGGAAACTAGTGTCCATTTTGCCTTTTCTTTTTCAATCACACACACACACACACACACACATGCATGTTTATGTGTATCATATAATGTTTTGTTCTAATAGGTGATGATGAGAAAGTTGAAAAAATGAAGAGATTGTAAGGAAAAAACTATGGTAGCCAAGGGACATCTCTGTACAGCTGATAGAAGGTATCTGATTAAATTGCAAATAACTTCTCTCTCTCCTCCTAACTAAAGAAAAAAAAAAACTCTTGTCTCTCAAAAGCAATGTTATGCATTTCTAACAGATTTTGATATATATGAAAAAAAATTACAATGTGAGTGCTGGAGTAGACATTGATAATTAAAGAGGCTGAGAATTAACATGATGATTAAGAAGAGAAGAAGTGCAAAAGAAGAAAAAAGAGTACAAAAAAAGAAAAAGGATAAAAAGAGAAAAGGATGACAAGAGAAAAAGAGAGAAGAAAAGGATAACAAGAGAAAAAGAAAAGGATGACAAGAGAAAAAGAGAGAAGAAAAGGATAACAAGAGAAAAAGAAAAGGATGACAAGAGAAAAAGAGAGAAGGGGAAAAGGATGACAAGAGAAAAAGAGACAAGGGGAAAAGGATGACAAGAGAAAAAGAGAAAAAGAGAGAAAGGGAAAAGGATGACAAGAGAAAAAGAGAAAAAGGGTAAAGGAGAAAAAGAGAAAAAGAGAAAAAGGGAAAAGGATGACAAGAGAAAAAGGGAAAAGGATGACAAGAGAAAAAGGGAAAATGATGACAAGGGAAAATGATGACAAGAGAAAAAGGGAAAATGATGACAAGAGAAAAAGAGAGAAATGAAAAAGGATGACAAGAGAAAAAGAGAGAAAGGAAAAAGGATGACAAGAGAAAAAGAGAGAAAGGGAAAAGGATGACAAGAGAAAAGGAGAAAAGGATGAGAAGAGAAAAAGAGAGAAAGGGAAAGGATGAGAAGAGAAAAAGAGAGAAGGGGGAAAAGGATGACAAGAGAAAAAGAGAAAAAGGGAAAAGGATGACAAGAGAAAAAGAGAAAAAGGGAAAAGGATGACAAGAGGAAAAGGGAAAAGGATGACAAGAGAAAAAGAGGAAAAGGGAAAAGGATGACAAGAGGAAAAGGGAAAAGGATGACAAGAGGAAAAGGGAAAAGGATGACAAGAGAAAAAGGGAAAAGGATGACAAGAAAAAAGAAAAAAGGAAAAGGATGACAAGAGAAAAAAAAGAGAGAAGGGAAAAAGGATGACAAGAGAAAAAAGAGAAAAGGGGGGAAAAAGGATGACAAGAGGAAAAGGGAAAAGGATGACAAGAGAAAAAGAGGAAAAGGGAAAAGGATGACAAGAGGAAAAGGGAAAAGGATGACAAGAGAAAAAGGGAAAAGGATGACAAGAGAAAAAGAGAAAAAGGGAAAAGGATGACAAGAGAAAATAGAAAAGGGGAAAAGGATGACAAGAGAAAAAGAGAAAAAGGGAAAAGGATGACAAGCAGCAAAGAGAAAAAGGGAAAAGGATGACATGAGAAAAGGGGAAAAGGATGGCAAGAGGAAAAAGAGAAAAGGGGAAAGGATGACAAGAGGAAAAAGAGAGAAGGGGAAAAGGATGGCAAGATAAAAAAGAGAAAAAGCAAAGGATGACAAGAGAAAAAGAAAAGAATAGCAAGAAAGGAAGATAGAAGGAAAGAAAGGATGACAAGAGAAAAAGCAAAAGAAAAGTATAAGAGAAAAAGAAAGATAAAGAAAAGGATGACAAGAGAAAAAGAGAGAAGCGGAAAAATCAGAATAAAATCATCAAAAGCCTGAGAATACTTTTGATAAAATGAAAAATTGGATAATTTTTCAAAAGAGAAAAGAAAACTAAAAAATATTAGAAGTTTAGCTTCTTAAAAAAACTATCAGCAGCTTTTATCTCATACCTCCTTATTAAAAGAAAAAGTGAAATCTGAAAAAAGAAAGAATTTGAAGAGTATAAAAGACAATAAATATTAAAAAGAAATTTATAATACAATAAAGAGAACAGAGAAATAGAAAAAAATATTGGTGCATTGTATGTTTAGTTGAAGATTTGAATAGATAAGCAAGCGACAAAAGTGAGAAAATATTAAAAACAACAAGAAATGAAGTAAAGGAAAGAAGTGTGTCAATCTTATTGTCTTTTAAAAAAAAAAAAAACCCAGCGAAGCAATCCTTCAAGGTTTAGAATTAAGTGTAAAAAAAAAAAAAAATTGAAGTTTGACTGCCTTCTTTCTTGCATCTTGCACAATATTAATTGACAGGTACCCTCTGGCATGGTCTGAAAAAGTGAGAGACCAATGAAGAAAGAAAAATAGGAGAGGGGAGACAAGAAAGAAATTAAGAATGTTCAACAGAAATTAGTGGAAGTCATAAAAAAAACTTGAGAAAGTCAAATGGAGATCTGGGAAGGAAAGCAGGTTGAATTGATGTTGGAGATCAGAAAGAAAAGGGAGGTAAGAAATTAAAGCAAAAAAAAGAAAAAGGCAGAAAACAAAGTAAAACTCCCACTTTTGTTCAAAAGGCGACAGATGTAAATTAAATTTACATTTATATAGCTTTAAATGAAAACTTTTCATTAATAGTATCATAAAAAATGAGGTAGGAAGGTTTTTCCTTTCAAAAATAAAGATCCAACAGTGAATTTTAAAATTTAATAAAAGACAAAAAAAAAAAAAAAAAAGACTTAACATCTTCCATCAAAACTACTGCAAATTGACAAAAATGTTTTTAATATATTCTATTCAGTTTTAATTGCATGAATCCTCAATATGCAAAATAAAGCCTGTAAAATGTTATAGATTTTTGTTTTACTATCCTAAGAATACCAATGCTGGAATATGTGAACAACAAGGAAGTTTTAAGAAAAATGGAAACAAAAAATAGACTTCTGGGATACATAATGAAGAAAGAAAGCTTAGAGAACTTGACACTCACACACAAGATGTATTAAAGGTGAGAGGACGGAGGAAAACAGTAACTAACCTACCTAACAAGCATGTGTAAATGAATGGTAGAGCAGAAAATGGAAGGATAGTAAAAAGAAAAATATTGCTAAGAGTTACAAAAGATAGAAATTAGTGGAGAGCCATGATTGCATATATCTTTAATATACTCAACTTTCTATAGCACAAGACCAATGTGATGGAAATGAGGAAGAGTAACTAATGTTATAAGTAAGGAGTACTGGCTTGTCTGCTACTTTCAAAATAAACATTCAAAATCCAGTTAGTAGAAAATACATAACTATCTTAGCCATTAGGTATCCCACACCCCCTACAAAGAGTTATGTCAAAACCTTTATTCCTAGTAATGCCATTATCACTAAACATCACGGCATCAAAAATTACACAAATGTCCAAAAAATTATGAATTGATGCTATTGGCAACATTTTTCACTTTCCACCAATTTCTTCTGATGAGTGTGCACTTTTTCCCCAATACATCATGCATCATCATTTTTTTTTTAGAACATTTTTATTTTTATCTTCCTACTGCTTCAGAATTTTTCATACTGTAGTTTATCTGTTCTATCCTTAAAGCATAATTTAAAAAAATGTTTAAAGCATTGATAAAAATTTTCTTTTTTTATCAGTCATTTTTAGATCTGCCTGTTTTTTTTTTTTTTTTTTTTTTACTGATTCTTTTTTATTTCAGTATCACCCTTTGAATGAAATTCATTAACTCTAAAAGTTTACACTTCAAAATCAGGAGGAAACATCTATCAGACAATTTGTTTTAAAGTTTTACATACCAAAAAACACAAATAAGAAAGAAGCTATTATTTATGAAAGAATAAACATACATTATACAAATTAATAACAGAAGTAATAATATAAATAGAAGGATGGTGATTCGTTATTTTCATGCTTATCAGTTAAATTCATCTCCAAATCAAAATCTACATTTCTTTATATCCCATATCATTGTATTTAAAAGGTGGAGGTAAAATTCTCTGTGTGTTTGTCAGTGAGTGAGTGAGAGAAATTTGTATGTTGTGTGTGGGAATTCCCTTTCTGTCATCACCTGGAGTTTAACTGATAATTATAAACAGCATTAGCTAAAAAAGAATATTTTAAATTTGACTATGATTTCATTATTTTTTTGATCAAATAAATAACTGATGGGAAAAGGCATTGTAGATGATCAAACATGTTAAAAGTGGTTTGTGAAAGTTTCATGGTTTTATTCATGATATTTTCACTGGACAATGATCCAGAGACAGATAACTAGTTTAAGTTGATGTTGTGTCGGAAACCTACCACCCCTCTTGAAGATGAACTTGTCTGCGAACAAAGACGTTAAATAGTGGTATGTCAGAAGACAGAAAGACGGAGCAGTTCTTAGCTGAGCTAGTGATTGACTACTTGGGCGATTTCTGTACCTATTTACCAACCTATTAAAACCCTTTTTATTGTTACGTGTTATTTGGCATTTGTCTCTACTAACCCCAAATCAACATCATAACAGTTGATAAGAATCAAATCTAGACATTAATTGAGAATGATCAATATTATAAAAGGTGGAAGAAGTCAACATCCTCAAAATATCCAAATCAAGTGTTGAAAATTTTTTTTACACCAGCTGGATTATGTTAGTTACTTTCATGTGTGATTTTTATATAAGTTAAAAACAAAATTCATTAGACTTTCCATACAATATTTGTAAGTTAAACATAAGAAAACTGTTTTGATTTTTAAACAAACTGTGAAAGGCAATGAGAAATAGATTATTTACAGTATTAGTATGGAATGAAGGGCCTGCATTGGTAACCCAACACTAATTATACTAACTATATCAAAGGCCAGTCTTCATCCAGACAGGTTGATACTATGCATATGGTCAGATTGAAAGCGAGTTCTCTACTATGAGCATAAAGAAAACTAAATAATTCAAACAAGTACTACTACAAATTAGATCTTGACTTCAGTCACTTTCTCATCAACTTGATCAACTTTGCCTTTTCTACAAATATTTTCATGGCAATTGTTCTGATGAGTTTTCTTACTTGATGCCTCAACTGCATGAATTTAAGCATGCTACTAGATTGGCAATTAGGTCTCATCATTTTACTGTTGAACTATCTAGATGCAACCGTATGTTCTATTCTAATAGTTTTGTTTTTAAGTTTTCTTAACTGTGGAACTCCCTTTTGTTTTCTAGAGGCTTTCCACTTACAATCTGCAAAGATTTAAATGCAATATCAACACCATCTTTTGTCTTTCTCAAATCTGTTCTTTTATTTTTTCTTTCTCCTCACTAAAGTCTTCTCATTTACTTTTACTCCTAGTAACCCAATGCATCCTAGTTGCATTATCACTTTGCTTGAATTGAATTGATTAAAAAAAAAGCAAAAACAAAACAAAACTCAAACCAACCATCAATGTGAGTTAATAGAAAAGGCATAATATTCCACCATATTTCAATCAAAACAATTTGTTACAGATTGGCTGAAAAGTATTCCATAATTTGCCATATGAAACAGATATTTCATATTCAGTTTAAAATTTATTTTGTTATTTATAGAATCATCTGAGAATAATTTCAGTTTTCTGAAAGACTGCAAAACATACTCTGAACTACTGAGAAAGATAAAAAAAAAAAAATTCTGGGTGGATAAAATTCTGAAGTTGTTTGAAAAAATAGCAGAAAATAATTGGATAAAGAAGTAAATATGTTGTACAATATTTTTTTTTTTTTTTATTGATTCATTTTCTATGGCTTATCAACCCTTTAAAGTCATAAAATGTTTTCAGATTGTAAGAAATTTTTTGAGTTAATTTAGTGATACAAGTCTTACCAATTAACCTATAGCTGGCGGAGAGGACATAGATAAATATCTTTCTCAAGACTATTTGCATGTAAGTGTTATATAACAAACCCAACTGAAATTGGAACTCAGCTCTCCAATTAACAATTCTGAGCTATTATCCATTACACAACCTGCACATCCAAGCTTAAAGCACCTAGTATTCCCAAGCATTTACCCATCTTGATACTGACAAAGTTCAATGTTGCTTAACTTTGATGATCTTACAGAAACCAGAGTTTCAACTAATTATACCCATAATTCTCAATAAAGTTAAGATCAAAAATTAAAATAAAAACAAACTCTCTTTAATCAAAAAAACCTTTCTGCATATTCCAATATATTTATGCTGTTCCTCCTCACACCAATTCTAAAATTCAGCATAAATGTCAGATTTTATATAAAAAAAAGTGTTTTATGAATTTTTCATTGGCTTACAGAAAATTCAATGAGATATTCAATATAAACAAATGTAAGCAAATACAGTAGAAATAAATTCCAGCTTTAGAAAAGTAGATGAATTAAAGATAATACAACCATTTTCTTGTTATTGATTTACAAGGGTATCAATTGTTTTTACACTTAATAAACAAGACTTTACTAGATAACATCTCCAAATATTTTCATACAAGTTATTCTAGAAACTTCTTTTCACTTGTGAAACTCCCTTCCAGCTCCATGCTTTCCAGCCAACTTTAATCTGCATAAATTTATATGCATTGTCAATCGTTATCTACTGTCTTCCTGATTACTCTTTTTTCTTTCTGTTCATTATTAATGTTTCTGTTCCTAATTCTTCCACACCCTGTAACTCCATGTGTCTTAGTGATTTTACTGCCTTTCATGAGGTAATACCATTTAAAAAAAAAGATTATCATTATTTTTTTTTATGGTGAGGTTTATCCTGAACAAGGCCCAAAAGCCACTCGAGGTAGAGGGTTATAGATATATGGGGAAGATAACAGTTGACCCTAGGCTTGAACAAGTTAACATTGTAGTAATCAGGGAAGCAATCTCTTGAGATTCGGTTCACAAAGCAATGGTTCATGGGAATAAGCTGCTCAAGTGGGACTTACATTTCACAAATGGAATATGAACAGAATGACGGTGGTTTGCTACAATGTGTGGGGCATGGCAGATCTTAGCTGTGAAGGTTAGAACTGGGGGAACTAAAAAATGTAGTTCTTCTGAAAACTTTGCATGGAAATAACAACAGAGCAGCAAGAGGCTTGCAATGTTTTGTCTATGAGAAATTGCCATTAATATAACATCTACATATATAAAGTACACTATATACACATATCCATACATATATACACTACCAGCTGGGAGTATTTGGTCACTCTCAACAATTTTTATTTCTCATCCTAAAACTGTGATTTTTAATGAAACATGACAATAGTTTTTATTTATTATACTAAATACAAGATTTCTTCAGTAACTTTGATCTTAGTATAACAAGATATCTTTTGAAAAATTGATTTGAAGGCATTTTTCTTCTTTAGTACTGAGCATGAATAAATTACATTATACCACCACTTGAACTCACATTAAACGAAATTGCATTGAATTACTGCTTGCTAGATACTACCTGTTTTACCTATGCTGCCAATGGACCTTGCCCAGTAGTGAAATCTGTTATTCTTATTTTGTTTAAATTAAAACCCCTAAATTTTGCAAATTTCTTCTGGATCAATTTTTTTCTCAAAAAAATGCTCAAAACACATGAACATACATTTGAACAAAGACAAGAGATCATTATTTGAAAAAAGGAAGGCTGACTGCTCTAAGCTTTAATGCACAACTGATCCATTGTCATGAAAAAAATGTTCCAGCATCCACTGTGAAGAGAAGACTCTGTGAAGCTGGCCTGTATGGTAAAATTGCTTTTAAGAAACCACTGTTGAGTAATCAAAACAATGTCAAAAGGTTTCAATGGGCCAAGGCACACAAAGATGGGACAATAGAGCAGTTGAATCAAGTCCTTCGGACTGATGAATCAAAGCTTGAAATCTTTGGGTCAAATAGGAGGGTCTATATGCAGCAAAGTGTTGGTGAAAGAGCTGCAGCCCATGTATCACATCAACTGTAAAGCATGGAGGGGACTCTGTTATGGTGTGTGTGTGTGGGGGGGGTTGAATTGAAATTGAAAGGCAAATTGAATCAGACTGGCTATCCCAGCATACTGCAGCATCATGCAATCCCATCTGGAATGCAGCTTGTGGGTCAATGACTTGTGCTCATGCAGGATAATGACCAATGCGTACTAGTAAACTCTGCCAGAAGTACATTAAAAGCAAAGAGGAACAGCACATCCTTCAACTGATGTCTTGGTGGGTGAAATCAGTGGACTTAAATCCCATTGAACTAGTGTGGAATGAACTTGACCGAAAAGTCAGAGCTAAACAACCCACAAGTGCAGTTCACCTCTGGCAACTCTTGTAGGAAAAGCTGGGCAAAACTATCTTCAGTCTACCTCCAAGTTTTTGGTGGAAAGAATGCCGAGAATCTGTGAAGCAGCCATAATGGCCAAAGGGGATCATTTTGATAAAAAAGATTTTTGTGTTTTTTGGTTTAATTTTTATTTAATGTGGCTCAGGAAGACTTGTATTTAATATAATAAATAAAATGATTGGCATGCTTAATTTGTTTCCTTGAAAATAAAACTTTTAGGATGAGAAATAAAAATTTTTGAGGGTGGCCAAATACATTTGACTGATATACATATACACCTCATATCAGATTTTATTATTCAAGTCAATGTTTTCACAATAAAAATTATAATAATATGCTTATATTTAAATGAACAGTTTATCATGGGAATTTCAGTTTATAATATCATGCCTTATTGATATATTGATGGTAAGTTATTTTGGGAAGTTTCAGGTGTTATTAGGTAAACAAACTAAGTGTAATGTGAATTTTATTTATAAATAAATCAAAAGATACAGGCCATAGAAACATAAATTTCATTAACACAATATCCCATTAGCTTAGTAAATTTTGATTATTTTTATTCTTAATATACACACCTTGATATTCTTTAACCTTCATCAGTTCTTTGTCCAATTATTTTGTTCATTTTTCTACAGTTTTGACTTCAACAGTATTTACAAGATTTTTTATTGCTTTTCAAATATTATTTGCTTGAATATAATTTTCCACTCTCTAAACCTCATGTTTTCTATTAGATAAATATCTAGAGAGTCTGTGGTATTCTATTAATTTGGTATCTGTAGTTAAATGGGTCTCTATTCCTCAGACATCATTTGTACATTACAAGATACCACTTGTTCAATTTGCCATTATTGTGTTCTGCACCCTTCACCAATGTAAAACTGTTCTGCCTTCTCATTGCCTCATCCCTTTTCATCAAGCCAACATCACTGCCAACCAACCAATCAGCATTCTTCACTTTTGTTCTCAGTTACCCAGGCAAATAACCTCCTTCAGTTTGACCAATCAGCACACAACTTGCTCTTGGTTGAAACATGCCAAGCTGTACAAAAAAAAACAAAAAAACATTACAGCACATACTGCTGGAATAGTCCAACTGGAGATTAATGTAATTTTCAAGGAACAAAATGCTGATGACATATGCTGCACGTTGAGGTAAGACACTTATTTTTCTTTGCACCAGATGCAAGCCACTCTTGGCTCACTTGCTACTATGTGACGCTTCACGACAGTGTCTTTAAAACCATTTTTTGGCAAGGTGGTGTAACAGAGAATTGAGTCTGACCCAGAGTTGGTTGTATGTGGTGCAGTAAGCACCCAGAGTTACATCCTCTTCCACAATTAGCTGTTGAGAGAAGACATTCTACTTGGAGTAGGTGGCTCTGATAAAATTTGCATACAAGTGATACTAGGCAGGTATTAGCCAATAGTCATCATAGGTCTGGGAATTATAGAGCTATATAACATCAACTTTTTCTCAGTTGTGAGGGTGCTTTTGATGTGTAGAAAATCAGACAAGACGAACACAGGTGGGCAATATTTAACTTAGCAGAATGAATAGGACCTTTGACTTGCATGAATATGCTCCTTGGCTACTTTTTTGTAACTTCTACCATAATGTAATTATGTTTCCCTGTTAGCAGTTTCTCTATGGACGATGTAAAAAAAAAAATTACCCAGAATCACAATGCTAGAGAAATCTTAGAAGTATCTTTGAGGTTTACTTGACTCCTTAATTACTCTTTAATAATTGTTTGCTGAAAAGTAATCATTTTACTTTAATTTGTTGATAATCATTTCTAAATATAAATTATACATTCAAAACATTGTTTTTAATTGAAAAAAAAAGACTAAAATAAAATATAGTGGAAGTTATGCAACAGATCACTGAATCCTGTAGAAATGATTTGCAAAGATTAAAAAATGGAAATTTTGAGTTCCATGATAAAGAATTCTGTAAAGACTTCAGAAATTACCAAAAATACAGATCCTTTGGTGGAACACATGAAAGATGTAATGCAAACATGCTAGAAAATTAAAAGTAAATCAGTCAATTCATTTTAGTGTTACATTGGAACAGAAGAGATATTTTCTTGAATGATGAACTCAGCTGGTAATTTTGTTACATACCAATTATATCTATCATCATGTTACAATGTGTCACAGCAAATGATCATGGAGTAGGGATGGGAAGTTCTTCTACGTACAGCATATTCTACAAATGTCTCATCTCCAGACTATCACTAATCCATTAAATTAGACCTTAAGGCATTCCTGTCTGAATTTTTAGGAAGAGGAGTTATTATTTACAGTCAGACTAATGTCCTAATCTTTGATATTATCACAACAAAGAGGTCATGCATTAGTCTGACTAGAATGTTTCTTTTGTTTATCTGTCTGGCTCAAACTATATCACTATGACAAGACAACTGGCTACCTGTTGGTCAGGTAGGTAGGCAGTGAGAGCTGGCCACATGCTAAGCTCTTACCTGTTGTTGAACTTTTTGCCTTTGGGCAGAGAAGAACCCGGACATGCCTATGCCGAAGGGCATAGTCTTGTCCGGAGTGATAGACAGACGTGACCCCATTTATGCAGGGTCTACAGAGAATTTTTTCCAGAGGCTACAGGCTAGGATTGTCCCACATTAAATTCGGCCTTGTGCCACATCCTGTCTCGTGGGGAGGTCAGTAAATATTACTACTATGACAAGACATTTTATCAAGATATCTGCTGATGAGGCATAATAAAAGGACAGAAATTTTGATTCAGCAAAATTTCAACTTGCAATATCTTGAGAATAGTTCACTTAAAACTTTCAGAATTTTCTAATGACTAAGATCTACAATATATATCAAAATGAACAAAATCTATTTTGTGGGGGGTGGTTACATTGATTCGTTGAATTGACATAGAATCATCTTTAATGCTTTCTGTCGTTAAGTATATTTATGTAAAATGAACATACACAACCAGGGAAGGTGAATTTTGAATTTGATTCACCCAAGTTAGTTTTCCTTCTGTTAACAATTGAATCACCCTCCACATATGCAAATATGTTCTGGATAAAGATGTTAATTTAAATAAAGACATTAATCTTAATTCAATAACACCTTAACTCAACATCTTGCTAAATGTTTAATTTGTTAATTTCTATCTGAATTTCTGGGAAGAGGATTGATTACTATTTACATTATTTGCTGTCAGACTAATATCCTCATCTTTGTTATTATCACAACATTTTGGCTATTGCATCCTCCAGGTTTCTTCAGGTGTCTATCAATCTGGGTAACCCACAGGGAATTATTTAGAGATATTTTGTTTTTGTTTTTAATACTACTTGGTTATTGCTAGCCTTGTTTCTACTAAGTCTAAGTGCATTATCCAGACCAGAGATTGAACTCACAATTACTATGCCACCAAATTCACAAATAAATGCTTTAAACCTATCTGCTATTGACCCATGGACATGAAAATATTTAAATATTTTGATGGGAGAACAATATTGCTAGAATAAAAGCGACTTCTAAATTTCATTCCATGAAGGAGCCAGTATTAGCAGAGCATTAGAACATCCTCCAGTACCAGATTAATTTGCTAGAGGTTTTGGTAGATGACATCCTTCTAGCAGCTAGAATAAAAGCAGTCATCAAAAAAGGATGGAAACTTTAGCATGAATATATTTAACAAAGTGACTTCATATAAGAAGGTGCTAAAATGTTCAAAGTTCAACTGAGAAGCCCATCCAAAATCTAGTAGATGTTTGGTCACTGGTAAGATTTTAGGAAGTAAGAACTTTTCAACACCTCATACTAAGATAAGTGTATCATATATTGATATGTCTTCCAATAGATTTCCAACAGTTTTTTTTTTCTTAGAAACAGAGTATTGATCTCAACTACAAAATTGGACATTATTAGATAGGTGGAAAGTAAATTTCTAAGTATATGTCTTCATCAAAAACATGCGATTGTAATTAACAGGGATGTCTACTCAAATACATGCATCCACTAAAAATAATGTTTATAAGAAAAAAAAAAAGAAAAATGAAAAAAATAAAATTGTTGGATTAAAAAAACCCATTAATTGCTTAAATTGCTGAGTTTGCACTTCAGGTACAAAAATATAAGTTAGCAGATACAGACACTGAAAAATCTTAAGAGATGTACTTCAGAAAAATGTAAACCTTGCTTTGCTATAAAAGCCTCCATGACCCATATGGTAAAGCATGTCTTCTTAGAAGGTGGTTTCCAAGGATAAAGGAAATGCAGATTCAATCCCTGCCTTTAATAAAACTTTCCATGTCTCAACCAAAAGACATTTATTTTAGTGTATAAAGAAAATGGGAGATGTCTACTAAAACATGCATATTGACTAAAAATAACATTTATAGTAAATATAATTAAGTATATGAGTTGCTACCTAAACATTTGGGGAATTTGAACAGCAGATGTAAAGTATGGTGTATAAACAGCAAATAAAGGACAACTTTGAAAAAAAACACTGTTAAGCTAATTAGTGCTACAGGCCCAAATTCCCTGAAGTTTTGGACAGCATCTCATATATAGATAAATGTAGATATATGAGTCTGAAATTAACTCAATACAAAATTATTGTAGGTATTAATGGATAGTTTTGTAAGTATTTTGATACCTATTCTTATTATTCCCAGATTAGTATGAACTGAAATGACATTTCCGGCTTATTCATAAAAGTTACTAAGACTTACCCTCCATTTACATTTAATATTATAGTATAATGAAATTAAGCTACATACAAGTACTGGTAGTCTATGGTGTCTGACTAAACATTAGTCTATCAGATACCTTAAATTTACTTACAATTCTCAGATAATATTTTTTGTTAAATAAAAAGACATGTCTCATATGACATTATATACGTTATCTGTATATGCATGCGATAGTGATTCTATTCACAAATATGTGTATGTAACTATGTCTAAATGTTTGTTAAAGAGAGAATATAATATATAAATGCCATATATACAGGGTCACCATTTTTAATTTTTTAACTTTGTGCTCGAGTGTTATCTTACATTTTGTTGACCGCACAGTATAGTAGGGTCAATTGGTCACCATCTATAAGAAAAAGAGCACCATGACACAATTCACTATGCCAAAAACTTGAAAGCAGTATGCTGTACTGTTTAGCATTCATGCTGGAAGCTCCAATATGAACATTTTGGTGTGTTTGGATGTCAATCTGAGTACAGTGGAGAGGATTTGGAAAGAGATGGATGTGTGTGTCTAATGGTGATTACAAAGGTACAGCAGCTTGGAAAACTCCCTCTGATTGTTCTGATAAGTAAAGAAATCCCAAATTTGTTGATGAGGGCCTCAGACTATATATATATATATATATATATATATATATATATATATTATGCAAAATCAAAAGAACTTTGAAACCTATAACAATGGAGGAGGCTACAAAAAAGCAATCAAAACAATTTGGAGTGCACTTCTCTACCATGCAACAATTATTTATAAATAGAAGACCTTTGGTATGACGGCATCACAATCAAAAAGTGGTTGTCCACAAAAAATAACAGCAAGCCCAGGCAAATCCTGCTATGACCTTTGTGGTTCTCTAATGCTCAGTAACCAATGTTGGAATCAATGTGTATACATCTACAGTGTGTCAAAATCTGAACATTGCTAATCCTCATGGCAGAATGCCTAGGAAAAGTCACTGCTTATGAAATAGCACAAGCTTGCTTGCCTCAATGCCAAAGATCATATTAAGAAACTAGAAACATTCTGGTAAAATGTTTTATGGTCAGATGAGACTAAAGTAGAGCTTTTTGGGAGGAACAGTAGGTGGTATATCTGGTGAGCTCCTAATACAGCTTTTGAAGAGAAGAATTTGATACCAACCATTAAACATGGTGGTGACAGCATTATGATTTGTGGGTGCTTTGCTGCAGCAGGAACAGACAAAATAATATACATTGATGGCACAATGGACTCTGCAAGATACCAAGCAATTTTGAACAAAAGTGTCTTGTCCTAAGTTCAAAAGTTGGCTTTAGGTTGGGACTGGAACTTCCAACAGGACAATGATCAGAGGCATCAAAGCAAATCCAAAAGTGAATGGATTCCAAAAAAGAAATTTCAAGTCTTGGAACAGCCCAGTCAAAGTCAATCTAAACACAACTGAAAATCTGTGATTCAAGTGAAAGAAGGCAATGCATGCAAGAAACCCAGGTAATGTCAAGCAATTGTGGGAATTTTGCTAAGAAGAATGGTCATAAATCAGCACTCACTACTGCTAAAACTTTTTAAAAATTATAGAAAAAGACTGGTTGACATCATAACTTCAAAAGGAGCAGTCACCAAATATTAAATGTAAGGGTCATCTTACTTTTGCACATATTAATTTTTAATTAATATTTTTATTCCAACTTGATAAAAATATTTGAAAGTGGTTGTAATTGAGTTAGTAAAGGTTTTTCTTAATGAATATATAATTTAATTAAGATTTGTTGATCATCTGAAAAAAAGAGAAAATTTTTATAAATATTATCTTTGTTTGATTTAGCCATTATAAACTCTGTAAAAGAATTTAGATATTGAGGATAAATTAAAACAACCAAAAATTGAACAACATTTGAAACTTTTTAAATGCTGTTCTTTTTGATCTTGGTTTTATTGTTAAAGCCATCTTATATAGACATTTAAACAAAAACATAGAATTTACAATCATGAATTTATTTTATCTTGACATAGAAGATATTATTTCATTCCAAATACTGTTCATTCCATACACACCTTTTAAAGGAACTGGTTGATTTATATTGGAGGCAATTCAATTATGAAAAGCAACCCACATTGAACAAAATGTAATTTAAATAAATATATTTGTTTCATTAAATTGCATCTAGACAAATGGATTTAATTGTTAATAAAAAATTCTCTTTCTTATAAACATCACTCCACAATCATATAAATTTATAATTTGCATCAAATTATTTGGGTTTTTATTATTTCAAATCAAAGAGTGTTCATAAAATTACAATTTAAAGAATATTTTCACTATATAGGGCTTATGTTGAAATATATATTTACTATATTTATATATGTAATAAAAAATACATATTTATTTCAATATATATATATTATGGAATATACATTTATAATACACAAATATTTAATTCTATTCTTATATATATATATATATATAACACACACATTTTTATCTCTAAAATATATATATATTTATATATATATACACACACACCATAAAATTTCTTTATATATATACACATATATATATATATACATACATATATATATATATATATATATATATATATATATATATACACACATATATATATATATATATATAAAATATATATATATATATATATATATATATATATATATATATATATATATACACACATATATATATATATATATACATACAGACATATATATATATATATATATATA